AGATTATGCAAATAAAATGGGTTGTAAAAGCCATTTTAAGGTCAGATTGTTAGCGATTCTGCAAGGGAAATGAAGAGGTTGAGCTTATGAACATTAGTCTACATGCTATTCTTTAATAATGAGATAACAGTGGAGGGCTTGAGCATGTTTTGTAGCAGCAGTACATGTGTAACACTAATACTGCTGTCTGTATGGCCTGATTGTTTGCCCACTAAGTATTCATCCATAAAAGAGGAGCGTGTAACCTTCTGACCTTTTCATGTCCCGCTTGACCCGTCCGGTGACCTGTGACTCCACTATGCTTTGATAAACCAGAGTCACCTTCAGCACAGACGCATACACAAACACACGGGAGCAGCAGGCAGTGAAGGGTGACGGTGCTGTGGTGTTGAACTGAGAGACAGCAATCATGGGACAGAAGCAGCAGTGTTTCGGAGGCAGCTGGGGATGGGGGTGGGCTCTAAAATAGTCTGTTGTTTGTCTTCATTAATTATAGTCCCAAGGTCACAGGGTCTCTGGACACCCTTGGTTCACCTCCCCTGAACGGCATTAAACTTCAGCCCAGATCAGCTATAATAAATGAGTCCAATTACTCAGCTCACTTATCTCGTTAAACGTCCGGCTGGAAGAGCCAAAATATGCATGTGTGTGTTTACTGGAGTTGTTTAAAAGGGAGGTGTGTGATGAAAAACAGCCTTTATGAAAAGAGAGATTAATTTCCTGTGTCATACCACTAGTGCAGCAGTGACAAAAACCCGCCTGGGAGTCCTGCAATCTGATTGGCTGATGGAGTGAGAGGCAGCACACGATTGGCTGAGTGCCTGGATAGAGCCAGCGATCTACAACTGCATTATAAATTTGGTTTGAAAAAGCTGCCTCTGCAGAGTATCTGGCTCTCCTTCTCTCAATTGATCTGTTTTCTGGTCTCCCTCCATCTTTGTGTTCCTTTGCTCTGTTTCCTCCTCTTTTATTTCCTTTACAGCTCCTCCCCAACCCAATGCTTCTTTTCCCTAAATCGACCTCTCCATCTCTCGTTCCTCATCGCAGGCCGCCAGCGGCGTAGCTTTCCCCCAACAGTAGCCGCTCTACCGATGACCTCAGAAAGAAATCAATCTCGTCGGCGACTGGAATAAATGAAAAGCCCGTGTCCTCCTCAACAGAGTATCAAGCAAACAGTACAAGCACTCCGCATAATCTGCACCATAAAAGATGCCAGACCAGATTTAGGTGGGCGCTATCCATTTTGTCACTTTTATGACTATTCTGCATTGCAACATTATGAAATTAGAAAATAAAATATCAAATCCCAAAAAGTACACAATATATGCCACTGATTGCCTGTTTCTGCCACGTATTAATTGTGACTAGGGATGGGCAACGATTAATCGCATCCAAAATAAAAGTTTGTGTTTATGTAATATATGTGTGTGTGGTGTGTATAATTATTTTGTATATATAAATACAGACACATGCATCTATATATTTAAAAAAATATTTGCATACTTTATATATCTATCTTTATATGTAAATAATATTATATATATAAATATTTGATATATTAAGAACACATTTTTCTTAAATATATACATGCATGTGTAAGTATTTATATATACAAAATAATTATACACACCACACACACATATATCATGTAAACACAAACTTTTATTTTGTATGCGATTAATCGTTGCCCATCCCTAATTGTGACTTTTAGATATTGGGCCCTATTATACACCTGGTGCAATGCAGTGTTATTATTATTATAAGCCTGGAACGTTTAAACCTCCTCCACTGCCTGTTTCAAACCTTGGCTCCCAAAGTATGTCAGAAAAGTGAAATAACATTCCTAATATATGTTTTTCCTTTTGGTTCCGCTTTTCGTGATCGCTATCGCTACAACCCATTAATCTTGTCACATTTTTAATATGTTCAACAATCGGGTTATGTAGGGAGCTGTAAGGAATGAGTAGAGAAGCTAAATAACGATTAGATATTCAACCAGAATTATCATAGAAACACGTATTGCTTTCAATTACTGAGATCACACCCTGTTGCCTGTGTTGCGTGTACGTGAACGTGGGGGTGGAGGCATAAAAATGGGTGTAATCCTGCCGTGTTTGTGGTGATTTCAAATATCAAGAGCGCTTACTGCACCTTTAATGCATTAACTAACATTAACTAATGCGACCTTATTGTAAAGCGTTACCCATAATTGCGACATTATTTCTCATAATGTGGCTTCATGTCTCGCCATTCCGCATTATATCTCACTATGTGTCTCACAATTGTGACTTTGTTTCTCATAAATGCAACTTTCTTTCTTGTAAATGTGACAATTGTAATTATTTATTACCAGAATTATCTTTTTTTATTGTTTACTCTGAGGCAGTAGATATGCATCTACCGTTTGTACTAAAACGATCAGTTGAACTTGTGACCTCTTGCACTTAAGGCAAGGAATATCCCTTACATCAGCCCCTGCTCAGGTGGAGCACGACCTCCCCTGAGACAGAAATCCTAGAATCGCCCTTTTCTGCACCGTCAGAATGTAGGAGGCTGGGAAAACGGCGTATCGTACAATCAGGTGAAAGTATTTCCTAAGCTGCTAGATTTATGTTTCACCCCTGTGAACTTGAGTGCTTCACTGATGGTGGCCTCATTCAGGTTGTTGATCTATGTTGCACTCTCTTTTCTCTTCACTTTTTGAGGATTGTCTTGGGGGCAGGCCCCTCCCCGAGCCTGGGGCCACACCACCACCGATAAGCTTGGTCTTGCCTCCACCTTTCTCGTATCCGTGTGTGTGTGTGGGTGCGCAAGTTGGCTGCCGTGACACTGTGAGACTTGTTCTGGGGCGCCTGACATGCCGACAAACAATCAGAGTGAAACATACACAAACACACGTATGCACGCACCTCTCCCAACCCTCCTGCTGCTGTAAACCTCCACACGCAACTTCAAAATGTGTTTCATTTCTGCAGCAAAATCCAGCTTAAAAGTAACACTATGTAGTTTTTCAACCTCCATAATATATTTCCAAGACCCTTGTGATGGTACATCGACTTACAATAGGTTAAATGACGTTTATTTTCGCTTTTATTTGCACTATGTAACTTCGGGTAGTAACCGGAGCACAAAAAGAACTACAAAATTTGACTGTTTTACGGCATACGTCACTCCCCCCACCACTTCCTCAAATTTTCTGTGGCCATTGTTGATTCCAAAGCCAGTTACGGACAAACAGCGAGCGACTGTAGGCTAAATTATTTACGACAGTGGTAATGGACAATTCAGCTTCCAACCTGTAGGGGGACAGCAGAGGAAAAGTGTACGAAAGTGTACTTTCACGTGTACGATCACACCGGTGTGATCAGTCTTGGCTGGTCCCTGGAGCGTGACAAGCAATGACGCGTCACCATGGAAACATTAAAGTGGCATGTTCTAAATAACGGTTGCCTTGTAAAACTCACGCTGGGGGGTCAGTTAGAATACTCACATGTGAAAGGGTTAACTGAGTTTTTGGAACATGAACTTGACCACCTTCGGATAGTAGCTGGTTTTTAGCAAGTCTATAGACTAATACGACGAGCGTTCTGTGTAGGCTGCCATCTTGTGGCGACGCCATTACTGAGCTGTTACACAGGCATAGACATATGCACCGGTGTGTAAACAAACCTCGGTGATAACGCGAACGCACCCTCGATGACAGCTACAGCCAGGCAGAATGACTTGTTGGTTTGATCTGTGACTGCAGTGGCCTGCAGTCACAGATGAAGGTACAAACGATCTTACAGATTAACGTTATTTATGAAAATAGCTTGGCAAGCTAGCTAGGCTAACGTTTGCTAACGAGGAAACTATAAAAAGATCTGTCCATTTGGCAACAATAAATAAATAAATGAATGAAATCAAATAAACAAATTGATGTTTTTCATTTGTGTCCATTATTTATCTCATTTTCACATTGCAACAGGCAAGGGTAAGGTAACGTTACAGCTAGAAAGTATACATAATATCGACCAATTAGTGTTTTTAAACCATGGAAAGAGGTCAATATAACAGCAGGAAAACAATTATGTCACATAACGTTACATTTAGCTCAGGAAAGCCATTTAATGACCATAGCATGTTAATTGAATAGAAAAAATAGCAAGAGAGGAGATTTTGCTGATCACTATATCACATATTTATTATATTTTTTTTTACTCATGTCATTAAATAATTGTTATTATACGCAAATGTCCACGTCTTGTACTCGCCCAGGAAATCTGTGTAAACCGTACGGCACCAGACAGGGGCAGTCGACCCGGGGTATTCACAGTGTTTTCTCTTCAAAATTGAAATTTTACTGCCACCATTGAAACAATTTATAACGGAAACTGTTTACCCACTCGACATTATACAAGGGATAACGTTGCAACGTTAGTGACAGTCGTAAATCGCGGGCTGTTTATTCCAGTGGACGCAAGTTGCAACTAAAACAATAGGAGGCAATGGAAAACGCTACCCAGCAACAGCTCAGTAATGGCGGCCAGCTTACTTCCGGTAGTTTCGCCGGATTCGTCTATAGGCTAGTAGACCATCGTGGATCAGCTACAAACCCGACATCAGTTGTTCATACCGAGTTAAGGTGGTCGATCTGGTTTTGAGAACACTATGGGTATTCGACCACCTAAAACACATTTTATAGGCCAGCTAGAAACTAGTAATTATGTTCCAAATCCCAGATTAGAAACTAGATTTTCTATCAGGGGTGAGATGCCATCTTGGAAGGAGCCAACTATGCACTTTACAGATTTGCGCAAAAGCCTGACATAAACATACAAACACACCTTCTTCTTTTCTTGAGGATTTTACCCATCTTCACGTACACGTCTTCATCTCTCATCACGACACATTGTCAGAAATATATATTTTTGGCAGCCCGTCAGCAAAGACACGCTCTTGTCTTCTTCTCTGTTGTACACCATGCTGATCCACTACTTTAAACAAAAGTTTGTACTTACTGCTTTGTACGTGCACTGTACTGGTGCCGTTTTCCTTCCCCAGAGTATTCTCTGCTACACATGTGTAATTCCCAGAATCCTCCAGCTTTGCTCTGCCGATCTGAACTTTGGAGTTTTTCCTTCAAGAAGAAGACACACAGGAAAGAGTCAAGGATTCCCAGTATACAACGGAAGAGGGAGAAACTCTCCAGAAAAAGAAAAAAAATTATACTCAGTATAAATTAAGTTTTATAAACAGAGATAGAAGAGATCCATATGACACTCTGAAAATCCCAGTGTTCTGGTTTATTAAGGGAGCTTCACATTGGTGTAACACAGCTTTTGTTTGTGAAAACTTGAGCAATGATTCATTTAAGTTAAACAATTGAGCAATGAATCATTTAAGTTAAACAAAAATCTCCTTTACCCATTAATCGTGTATTTATGATGTCTGATCAGTAGATCATTTCAAGCCAATCACATACAATGCCTAGATCTCTCTGAAAACATTTACTCACTTTCACATCATTCCAAACCTTTATATTGTTTATTGAACCCAAAAAGTAGGTATTTCTGAAGAATTGTCGCACAACTCCATCATATTCATATTATATAACAGGGCTGCTCAATCCTGTTCCAGGAGGTACCTTACCTTCATGCAAAGTTCAGCTCCAACCCTGATCAAACACAACTGAAGCAGCTAATTAAGATCTTTAGGATCACTTGAAAATTACAGACAGGCGTGTTTGATCAGGGTTAGATCTGGGCTGAATCCGAAATCTAAACCCTCATTTACTATTCCCTACGTTAGTCCACTAATACTGTTCACTTGAAGGAGTGAGTGAATTCGGACGGCAGTTGAGTGTACATCGTTTGTACAATCGTTATTGCAGTGCAATGTAAGTGCACTCAAAAACGTCCACTACGGTTTCGGACGCCACTACAAATGGCTGTCCCTTCAAATAACGCCCTATTTATGGGTACAGGGGGCGATCTCAGATTCAGCCCTGGGCTCTACAGGCAGGTAAATCTCCAGGAAAAAGATTGGCACAAAATTGGATTGGAAGAAGGAACAAGGATTGGGACAAAAAGCACCATAAAGTATCATAAATGTGTACTCCATATTAATTGTGTGATACTATCCATGTCTTTAGAAATTAGACAAAAGCGTTGCATGAAGACTATTCACTAAAAATATTGTGTTCCAGAATGCAGCCTTGAAGCTTTGATGATAATACTTCAAAGATTACTTCAGTCACTATAAATATATATTTTTTTTAATTACAAATTTGAAAATTGCCTACTTTTTTTGTTAAATTATATGAATGTATTATTATTATAATAATATTTTTTATCATTATGATTTATTTTTATTTGTGAAATTTTTTGTGCCATTATATCATTTTGGAATGACATGAGCTTGATTCACCCAAAAATGAAAATTATGTCATTAATGACTCACCCGTATGTCGTTCCAAGCCCCTAAGACCTCCATTCATCTTAAAAACACAGTTTAAAGGAGTAGTTCACTTTTAAAAGAACTTTTGCTGATAATTTACTCACCCCCATGTCATCCGAGATATCCATGTCTGTCTTTCTTCAGTCGAAAAGAAATTAAGGTTTTTGATGAAAACATTCCAGCATTTTTCTCCATATAATGCACTTTACTGCATGGTAACCAAACTGTTCAAGGTCCAAAAGACACTTTCAGTACAAACTGCAAACTGTTCAAAGGGCTTTAAACGATTCCAGACGATGAATAAGGGTTTTATGAAGCGAAACGATCGCTCATTTAAGAAAAAAAACTAAGTTTAAGTTTTATAAGCTCAAATGGTCGCCTTGCTCTGTTCTGTGATGTGCGTTCGTGACTCTCCTGTTCGAACTCGTTTATCAAAATGAACGAATCTTTTTTCGAGTCATTTGGTTCATTCAACGAACGAAATGAACGAATTGCCTCAGAAAAAGATTTGTTCATTTGTTCATTTTGATGAACAAGTAAAGTGCCAGTAAAGTCCATTATATGGAGAAAAATCCTGGAATGTTTTCATCAAAAACCTTAATTCCTTTTCGACTGAAGAAAGAATGACATGGACATCTTGGATGACATGGGGGTGAGTAAATTATCAGCAAAAGTTTTTTTTTTTTTTTTTAAAGTGAACCACTTCTTTAAGATATTTTAGATTTAGTCCGAGAGTTTTCCGTCCCTCCATTGAAAATGTATGTACGGTATACTGTCCTTGTCCAGAAAGTAAATAAAGAAATCATCAAAGTAGTCCATGTGACATCAGTGGGTTAGTTTGAATGTTAATAAAGAAATACAACGTTTAATAAAGTCATAGATTTTGTTATCTTTGGACCAAAATGTATTTCCGATGCTTCAAAACATTCAAACTAACCCACTGATGTCACTTGGACTACTTTGATGATGTCTTTATTTCCTTTCTGGACAAGGACAGTATACCGAACATACATTTTCAAATGGAGGGACAGAAAACTCTCGGACTAAATCTAAAATATCTTAAACTGTGTTTCCGAAACTTACGGGCTGAGGGCTATAAGATCACGACCAACTTAAACTAGCTAAGATCATTTTAAATTAATAATGTTGTAATAATTTCATTTCTTGTGAACCATTTGTTTAATTGTGATATTAACAATATAATAGACATGCATGCTGAAACACTTCACTTAAATTGCAAGAGCACAGGCAGTATCTAGTACACTGCCCAAAGTAAGCTCTTGTCTCATCATGAAAAGGTCACAATCCAGTCTGAGAACTTCTGATATACGTCTAGAACGGGAGGTTGGCTTCTGCTGGTGTGGGCTAGTGGACATGCTGACTCACTTGCCGTTCCTTATTCTGATCTCTTTGCTCTTCTTCAGTTCAGCGCCATCTTTGTACCACTTATACTCCGGGGTGGGGTTTCCGGAGGCCTCACACTTCACTATCAGCTTGCTTCCTTCGTCCACCAACACAGGATTCCTCATATGCTTCAGTGTAGGAGCAACAGCTGAACAACAGAAAGAAAGAATATTGTGTTACAGCACTTTCTCATTTATAACACCAATGGGGTTGATGCAGTGATGGAGCAGAAATTAAAGGGAGGGACGCAGAGAGAGAGAGAGAAAAATCAAGAAAAGTCTCATAGCTGGCCAGATGATGTCACCAGAGACACTGGCAGTGTGAGGCAGTCCAGCGCTGAGCTCTCTCGCCTCTCAGAGATCAATGCAGCACAATTACAACACACAACCACACATTTTGAGCTGCACTTCACAACATATGGGAACATGCTAAAACAACAATGTGATTCAAGTTTTGGTGAGTAGCTAACTATGTTAGCGACACTACTAATTCAACTTTAATTTCTATGTTTTCAACTTGGTTACATAAAATTAGTGTGTATTCTAGTTTACAGCTGTTTATCAGTTTGATCATGCATTGTTTTGTCCCCAAACATTGGTCTGATTAAAATTAAGCTTAAGTTAGCTTTGTTTTTAGCATAGCTAATCAACAGTATTTTACTTGCACTCTAAAAAAAAATGCAGGGTTGTTTTAACCCAATTTTGGGTCATATATGGACAAACTCAAACATTGGGTTAAAATTTTATTTAAAAATGTAACCCAATGGCTGGGTTTGTCTTCCGCTCAATTTCATTTTCCTTCTACGTCTGGGATTGCTGTGTATCCTTAGGTTTCCAGAAATCAATTTTTTTGTAGGACCAATCAGCGAATAGAGGGAGTGGCTGAGAATGATGACATTGACGTAGCGCGTCAGTTTGAGTTCAGTAATGGCACCGGAGAAAGACGTGAGAAAAGCTATTCGGTCCGTTGTTGGAAAAGAAACTGCCGAATATACAGAATTTAAAGCCGGATTGTTATCGTCTCACCTCTTGTTGCACAACGGAGGACCAACCCAGATAGCAAACTGACATTGAATCAACGTGGAACCATGACATCGAAACAACGTTGATCTGACATTGTTTTGCTCATCGAATTAACGTTGAACCAACGTCAGACGCGTCATTCTTCAAAACTAACGGAAAATCAACTTGAAATCAACGTTGTTTCAACGTTAGGAAAGCAAACCAATTGATTGATTTTCATTTAGCTTTGACGTTGGTTCAACGTTAATTCGATGAGCAAAACAATGTCAGATCAACGTTGTTTCGATGTCATGAGAGACGTCGTTTCCATGTTGATTCAATGTCAGTTTGCTGTCTGGGAAGTAAAAGAGGCAGAAAGGTTGGAAGTTTGTGCTGGGCAGCTCGTGCACGATTTTGGACGGACGGGTCATGTCCGCTCAGGAGTCATGTCAGTAGCTCAGATTCCCAACAGTAAATTTACTGATTCTTGTGATGAATAGAACATTTTGAGCCCCTTTGTGCACTCGTGCAGGAGGTTGGTGTGTCAGTTTTACATGTTGTAAATCATACAAATTGGTTGTGGTTTTAAAAAAAATAATTGTCATAAATAAAAATGTGAAAACCCATACTTTGAAGACTATATTTGATTTTCAGTTTTAGATGGCAATAGTTAATTTGTTTTAATAAAAAAAAACTAAATGCCATTTAAAAATGTACAAACATACTTTGAAGACCATAATTAAGGTAATTAAGAAACAATAAGACGTAATATGAAAAATTGTTGTTTATTACACATCTGCAGATAGAGACAGACTGATCATTCACTGTACAGCATTCGCGGCAGATCAGAAATGACCTCAGCGGCGTATTTGTGATGATTAGACACAGCTTCAACCGTTAAATGAATACATCACTGTCCTTCGTGTCAAATATACATTTCGAATTAATAATTGTTCCTAGATTAACAAAACCTGCAGCTCTCGTTGACTGAAATCCTATTGTAAACATAATCCTCTGATCATTCGAACTTGTTGTTTCCAGCCGTTTCGGCGCGTGACATATACGTCACTCACGACCACACGTTAGCGATTAGCTATGGCAGATCGTGAGTGACTCTGGGCAGATCCAATAGTTTTGAACAGCGCAGTCTTTTGACCATACGTCAACATCCGCCTTTTTAGGGTACCCTTAAACGTCGGTTAGATGACATTATCGGATCCTAACCCTACCCCAGACCTAAACCTACCCCGTCACCTAACCGACGTTAAAGGTAAAGCGTCAGTTGTATGACGGCCCGGGATCGTCATGTAACCGACGTTTAAGGGTACCCTAAAAAGGCGGATGTTGACGTATGGTCAAAAGACGCCCCAAGACGTCAGTTATATGACTTCTTGGGATGAGAATGTGTTATTTTGAACTTTAATAGTGAACCCGCCTACAAGGAAGTAAACGTTTCTCAATGGAGAGAGGCCAGACTGTATGTACAAATGAAATGTTTGTCCATATTTGACCCAAAATTGGATTAAAACAACCCAGCATTTTTTAGAGTGTACGATTACCTTCCTAATATGAAGGAAACCTTATTTAATCAACAAAATACATCCAGTCCCAGACATAATCCCAAGAAGTCAATGATCTTCAATAAAAGCTGTGTAAAAAGCACCTGGAACAAGAAGAAATTGGAATTAAACTGAGAGACTTAGTTTGTCTTTTACAGGTCTTTAGAAATTATGCAACAAGCCAATGTTGACAGCTCCTTCGTAAATCCTAAAGAGGCACTCAATCTCAGACAACAGTCGAAACACCAACGAAACGGAGGACAACATCACTGAGAGGAGATGAAGTTGCTACATGTGGGCCGCCACATGCCCAGACGCTACCATGCATAGTCACTCAGGAAATGCATTATGGGATTAATGAAGTCTCAGACAGCAATCATGCGGCTTCAAAGAGTTGCGGCTCCACAACTGAAGGGCAGAACTGGGTGATGCTCTTTGGCTGTGCCCTACTGTCCAGGATGAGAGAAGGGCGCATGCTGCCCCAAGGCTGGGGCAGGAGTCCGTGCATCTCTCTGGGCCTCCTCAAAGTGAATCCATATAATCCAAATACACTTTTACAATGGCTGCCTCTTTTATGACTTGACAACGCACACGATGCCTAAAGTCTTCAGCTATTATTGCAAAAGGTGGCAAGCATAACAAAATGAACAGATGAGAATACACAAGCATTAACATCAATTACAATCTTGACAGTGGTTTCTAAAATAATCAGCAGTCATCCTAATTTTGGAACAACTGTCCCAATTCCCCGTCCCAGTAAAGGCAGATGTTACATCCAAACGTCTGCTTTCATGTCTGAATGGTGCAGTCTGTTCTGATGTTGTGTACCTCAAAGTAACATGACAGTCTCTGGCACAATGTTTGGATTGTACTGTCAGTCGAATAACATCTCAGGTTTCCCGTGACAGCCTCTAGTGATGTGCATTCTCTCAGAAAAACCACCAAGTGTCCGATGTAGTTCTGCTCCACACCATTTAATGCTCACTGCTGTAGTTACCCATTAGAGGCCAACAGGCCGATGAGATACAGTGCACCAGCAACGCAATTCTTGACAAATATTTAAAGGGATAGTTCACTTTGAAATAAATTTTTGGTATGTTTTAGCTTACCTCAAGGGCATCCAAGATGTAGGTTTTGTACATTACCCCGCACCCTCAGATCACTTGGACGTGGCTGTGGTAACAAAAGGTAAAAACGATATAAACACTGTTCGTTTTCTCACACAAACCGCTTGTTTCGTGTGTTAGGCCACGTTTACACAAAGCCGGGTATTTAGCGAAACGAATATTTTCCCCCTCTCCGTTTTCAAAAATGACATCGTTCACACACCCGCATAAATGCGCCATCGAGCGCCATCATAGCTATGCCAAACCTATTGGTGGCAGTGTAGGGGTTAAGGATAAAGCCATCCAAGCCAATCAGAATCCTCGGAATCGACAAGAGAGAACCTAAAACGCTGTTTTTCCCAGTTCACACGACAACACATAACCGGCATTTTCAGAAATCTCCACTTTGGCCGGAGAAATAATCGTTATCTATCATTATCGTAATCGAAATAATTTAGAATTAATCGTTTTCTGTGATAAAAACTGGGTTTTCGTGTAAACGAGAGGCCAATCCGCAGGGAAATATCTGCGTTTTCCTTTCGTGTAAACGGGGCCTTAGGCCATCAATGTGCACTTACATTTACGAGTCATTAAATCATGTTTAATCTGGACTTCTCTGTGCATGTTCATTGAGGTGGTGACCATAGACCTCCATTATATGACTGATAGACACGAACGGTTTGACCTAAAAATGTCAAAATTGAAAATACTGCCATCTTGGATGCCCTTGAGGTAAGCTAAAACATACCAAAAATTCATTTCAATGTGAACTATCCCTTTAAACACACTGTAATACTGTTTAATCGCCTGAAAACCCCTTGACTACAATACGCATTCCAATTAATTAAACAGAAAAGAGATGTATAATAAAGAAACAAACATCAACACTGGTTCAGAAAAAATAAACTTCGTAGGAATTTGATTTTATGATAGCCAACACAACGTCACATGAAAAACAACCTAAAAGCGTTGCTATCTGAGCCTTTCTGTAACCCGAACTGATTTTATCATTCACGGCGAAGCTGGATGAGTAAGAAACAGTCTGTTCTTTTCTTTTTTTTTTCATTTTTCAATTGTATCTTTCTCACCCCAAACTCAGGGCACCTGCATCATTACTCAGCATGCCTTTGGAGTGACAGTGTTGTGCAACACATCCTATGATGAATGTATGCCGAATAAGTGCGTCTTGCATTACATGCTGCCCAACATCTGTCACTGAGACTTTTTTCGCATACTGGCCAAGTAGGGCGCATTGGGGTCGAAATGGGGATCAAAAAGGTTGCGTTTAAGGCTATGGCATGCATGTGAGGGTTCTATGGAGAATTACTAACATGAGGCATCTTGTTCCGAGTTGCTTTTGTACATGCAGGGTGATACTTGCCCGTGTTCAGATAAGAAGGGTGGGGCGTCTGATTTGTACGTTCCATGTTTTCCCGACTCCAGAGTAATACTCAGAGCTTTATGTAGTCATACTCCATGACA